TTTTGGTGTTTCTTTTGCGTTCTTCTCTATATTTGTCAATTGGTTCCAACCTGCAGAATAATCATTATTCTACCCGGCATCAGAACCACACATTTGGGAATTTTTTATTCACGCGGATCCCGCGCGCATGTGAAAGGGTGGCACATTTTCGGTAATTCACATTCGGTACAAATAGAATTATCCTTAATATAATGTTTAATGTGTAAAAGTTGCTTTTAGATAACTTAAATTTTTTCAAACATATTTTTAGCACAATTTAGCGTATGACGTGGAAGATCTCAAGATGGAGATTGAGGGCTTGACACGTCTATTAATGTATAAAGCATAGAATGCAAAGAGAGATGTGTGATATTTTATCAGCTTATAGGCACTTTAGTGCGCAAAACGTCCACAATTTTTTGTATTTTTATCCATATTTTCAAATTTAATTGTAGAAAACGTCGTTATCATTTTTTTTTATCCAATTTCTCAATGAAAAATGTAAAATGACAAATAAAACATTCTATTCAAATAAAATAAAAAGAAAAGAAAAATAAAGAATTAATTGCAACTATACTCACAATTTTTTCTTAAAAAAATGCTAATGAATCTCAAATAAATTATTAAAAAATTAAATCTCTCTCTCTCTCCCCACCACCATGAACAATAAACAATTTCCAACAATATACTCCAAATCACCAGCAATATATTATTGGGAATGGAACATCCGGTGCCTTGATTTCGAACTGTGTGGCCATCGAAAGAATTGGAGGGGATGGAGATCACCCCAAGGGCTTTCAATGCTTCTGGATCCATTGGTGGTGTTCCCAATGCCTTAGTCTGTCCAAAAATTGGAGAATTTGGAATTCCATGTTCCACAGAGTCAACAGCCAAGTTCCACTCCAAAATTGAATCAATTGGTGAATAATTTAGATTGATTGGATGCTTATCCATTGAAGTATGAACCTGTTAATTGGGGCAATTAAATTCACATCCACTGCCATGTGTGTTGATGAGGTAATTCTAGGGATGGCAAAAAAATTCGCTGGTTCGGGTGGTTCGGGCTCGGCTCGGGCTTAGACTCGGGACGAGCCTCATTTTTTGTCCGGGCTTTGCTCGACTCGGGCCCAAAAAAGATCGGCCTCAAAAAGCTTGAGTCGAACTCGAGTTTTTTTATTTAATTTATAGT